TCACTGGCCGTCTGCCCCTGAAAAACAATCTACAGTTAGCTTAGTAAATATTATTTTCAAATTCATAACTATTTTTGGAGGTACGGTTTCTCTGGCAGCAGAAATTATCTCACTGGATAAGTGGTTAGTGATGAGATTCATGGAAACATAAAGGGGTGCCATCTTTTTTCAGTCATTCATAACTCATAACCATGTGAAACTGAATAGCTGGCACATTGTCTTAACAAGATAAACAGGTCCCCCTGCAGGCTGAACTTTGAATGTGTTCAGAAACCTGTTGCCCTGTTTTATTATCTTGGTTACTGCCTTGCGTAATCTCAGCACAGAAAAATGTTTCTGTTTCAGCAACAGAAAGTATATGTTCTTTGGGACTGAAAGGTCACCACAAAAACCCTTTTTCTTTCATTATTTAGTTATTTATTTATTTTAAATCTAAACATCACAAGATAAATTCATGGACTCTTCCTGTTTCAATAAGCAGGAAAATTGTGCCAGTATAACTGTCTTATCTTTTTCACCTTTGTTTGGGGACTGTTTTCTTGTGTCTCTTTGACATCTTTTTTGATCTGGTCTTGATTCTGTCGATTCGTCTCCTCAGCTGTGACTGACTGTTGATGTGCTGATGTGGTCACATCTGTGTAACAACAAATGTCATGTAACATGTTAGCTACAGATACCCAATGACAGTACATATTCAGTACTAGTCTTACATATAAATGGGATAACAGGACAATAAGTTACAGCTTTTACAAAACTTGTCTTTTAGATACAAAATAGCTAAATCATTTTTCTTTTAAGCCAAAAGTACAAAATCAGTGTCGCTAAGAAAAACAGCAGCTTGTGTTACAGAGGACTCTTAGCTGTAGTTGCAGTACTAGCACCTATTATTATTATTTTACCAAACTAGTCAATGATGAATCTGCAAAGAAATTATAAATAATAATCTCACATGGATTTTTGTTATTTATCTAAAAAAAAACCTGAGAAAGAATCAATAACAGTCTGCTAGGAAACTCACCTTGGGACTCATTTTGAGTCAAGAGAAATAACTTGAAGCCACATTTAGGACAGAATCTATATGACCTTTCCACCTGATGTTCACATTCAGGGCAAAACATGATGTGCCTGTTAAGACAGACAACATTAGTAATGAGAGGAAAAGACTGTAATGTACTTAATGGGCTTTTTAAGCAAAATTCAAACCACTTCATAAAGTTCTTGTACTCTGTAAACTGAGGGCGACTTGTAATAGGCGTGTAGTAACAATAGCATTTTAGACAGACTGACGTTGACTAAAGTTTTCTCACTTCCTTCTTTCTCTCTGTCCGTTTTTATCTTTCAGCTTGAAAATGCGTCACAATGACTGGAGAATCACTTAAATTCAATAGAAAGTATACAGTTTTATGCTGTATCAGACGTATGCATTACAGACATGAGACTTGAGCCTTCAGCATATCCTAATGTATTATTCTAGCGAGTAAAATGGATTAAATTGCCAAATAACCTACCTTGTTGCTCTTCCTCCTTACATGGTTAACACTGAAAATGTTAGCTGACAGCAGATGTTATATAGCTAACTGGGGTCATGAATTTACTTTCATTTTCATTTACAGAAATAGGTGGGGCTGCTTTGGCATTTTCTGTCATGCTCATTGGGCATAAACGACACAAAATCCACCGCCATCTTCAGTTAGGGTTTTTTTTGCACAAAGACATTTCATTTACTCTAACACTGACAAAGAAAGGCAACAAATCAATATATTTGACAAGTTGGAAATAGGAAATATTGCCAAGGCCTAATTCATAAAACACAAAAATATCTATTATGATTTTAAGGCAGACTTAAGGACCAACTCACCCAACTACAGGGATTTTGGAGTGTAGAAAATCCTGTACTTAAGTGCAATCCCTATCTTCACAATAAACTCTGTAAATATAGTAACACAAAGAGAATGGAGTATTGTTTCAATTAATGTTGAGAAATAAAAAAATAAAAAATCACTACTATGACTAGTGTCTAGTGCTGACTAGTGCTATGACTTAAAAAAAAAAAAAAGTCATCATAATTATCTGTGCTATTGTTACACCAACAGTGTTCAGTGATACATGCTACGATCTGATATAAATCACTAACATGCACAGACGTTCTGAGTCGTGGCCACTAGGTGGTAACATTGATTAAGCTAAAAAACTTAAACTTCGTTCCCTTTCAACAATGTAACAGAAACATACAGTGGAAAAAATTTAGTCAAACCTTTAACTGGTCATTTAAAAAAAACAAAAAAACAACTATGCACACATAACTAGAATAAGCTGTAGAATACATAAACAAAGTGTAAAGTAGTATTAGTGTTTGACTCCTTGATTTAATCAACAGAGTGTATGTGTGCCAAGAGCCCAAGAACAGCCAGGTCTGGTGAATGGCTTTCCACAGCCAAAGCCCAACACCTTCATCTTTAAACAGTTACACACCCTAAAACCTGCTTAGCAACCTGATTAGCTTTTCAGAGAAGCACACATAAATAGTGTAAAGTGAAGAGACTATAACAAAAAAATTCCATATTTTTGCAAGGTCATAACGTTTAGTTTTTTGGTGACAGAGTCTAAAATGTGTAAATTCAACTATATCTTTATTGTCGAGGCCAAAGGTAAAAGCAGTGTTGTACTGTACTGTTGTAAAAGCTGTAAATGATGAGGAAGTAACACCTGGAATAAACTGCAGTAGAAATATGAACGGAGGGTAAAAATAACCTAGTTTGAGTGCATGTGAGGGTAAAGAGGAAAATATTTTCCTCCCAAAATGCATGCAAGCATAATAACCAAGATGGCATTTGTGAGGGAGGAAAATAACACTATTTTTCACTGCCTCTGAAGTCAGTGCTAAAGAAGCGTGCTAAATCATATCATCTCATTGCTAGGCGGAATTGTTGACCGTGCTAACAGGCTTGGATTGTGTGTGTCTGTGTGTGTTGGGGGTGTGGGGCTAATCTCAGTGCTGGGCTACTGAGTCCTCCTCCTCTTCTTTACCACCCACACAACTCGTCCACACGCATACACACACACCACTGCAGTTGCCAGCCAATCGCTACCTCTCTTCCTTTCTATCGCTTTTACCTGCGTCACTCTGCAAGTGTTGCCATGGTGATCACTGATGCTCCCCCCACACTTTGCTCTTCCAGTACGAGGATGAAGCCGACTTGCGACTGGTGATGCAGGCAGGCTGCAGACGTCATCACTTCCCTTGGGAAGGAGGCCTATTTTTACCAGTGGGCACAAAGTATACCGAGCTGCCCAATATATTTATGGAAGTGCATCTAATCCAAGCCTGCCAGGAAACATTCTCCCCACGCTCTGCAGCTCTCTCTGTCCATTCATCTCTCACAAATACTGTTCGTTCCAAGGCATATTTTTTCGCTTGAGTTGACATGGCAGAACTTGTGAAGGCTTTGAATAAATTTGTTTTAGTATTTGTGCTGTTTCATCTGGAATGCTGTTTTACCAAAGGTAAATATCACACAGTGCTTACCCTCCAGAGGATGGTCAGTGGTCACCTAGGGAGCACCAACCTCTGGTACTGGTAAAGATTCAGTGTTTTGCTCAAGGGCACTTGCCCTTGCAAATAGCTGCCTGTTGTGCCAGGAAAGATAACTGTGAAGGAAGTCAGCATGACATCACCCTCAGGCTCCTGACTGGTCATTTTGAAACCAGGAGACATTGCATACTGTTTACACTGTGTTGTTGTTTCTGGAAGTGGAACTGGCATACTGAAATGCACAAAAAAGAAAGCTGAACTGGCTGATAAAAATGTACAAAGCCACAAAACAGACTACTGCAAATCAAGAATATGCAGGATGCAAAAAAAAGCAGTCAATGAAAAAGAAAAAAACGTGCCCATTTACATATTTATTTCAAGTGGAGATACGTGTGTTATCTAACATGCTTTAATGTGCAAGAAGAACGTACTGCAAACCCTCAGCAGCTAAACTAGGCCAAAGCATCTGGGGCTCATCATATCGTGCTTCACTTTAATTTTTTCACAAAAATACATCAACTACAACCTAATGTTACCAGTCTTTGTTGCATAATTGTTGCAGATATGGTAAAATCACATGTAGATGGGTGGTGGGATAGCTCACCTGGTTGAGCTGGCAACCCATGTACAGGCAGCAGTCATGGATTCGAGTCCTGCTCATGGCCCTTTCCTGCAAGTCCTTCCCCCATTCTTCTCCTCTACTTTCCTCTCTCTCTCTCGACTGCCTTATCTAATGAATGAATGAATGAATGAATGAATGAATAAATAAATAACACACGCAGATATGTCTACCGTCTGGGACACACCCAGACCACCTTAACAAATGGCAAGTCAAGATTTTGTGAGAAATACTTTCAAGGATTAACATGTGAGAACCATAACGGCATCATACATGTGAAGGATTACAAAATAAGGTACTTGTGCTCTTTCCATTCTCTCTTGTTTAGCTTCATGAGCAATGCCGGTTAAAATGAGAAATGTAGTTTGGTAGAGTTGTCGTGATAATTGATAATATTGACACTGAAAATGTGTCAATGGCAATATTTTTAACTAACTTGTTTTTTCTTTTGTCAGTCTTTAATTCACTGTGTTATTGATGCGTCATGAAGTCACTTGTTTTTGGCTCCAGTCACTGGTCAGCTGCAGTAAGTGCTACAGCTATAGACAATGGTGACGGCAGACCAGGTTCAGTTTCTAAAGATCCAAGGTTTTGAAGGTATGGAAGGGCTTTAAATGATCACCGAACAAAAGCTGGCTGGTACATTGTGCAGAGTTTGGATGGCAGACCGCAGCAGCAAAGCACAATCCACAAACACCTGAGGAGAAACACATAGGCGATTTGTGGCGCACAGGCACCCCTGTTTGATTTTCTTCTATTCTCTGTGCTTGCACATACTGCATCTACAGTCATATTCCCCAAAAAGCTGCTCTGATTTATATAATTTTTTCTGTTGTCAGACAACAGAGTATGAAATAGTGACTAAAACGCAGTCCATAAACACCATGTCACCCACCATCACTTCCGAGCTGCTGCGATGCAAATCAGGATTTTGTTAACCACGGTGTTGTCTAACAAACTCACAATTCACATAAGTTAAAGACGATGGTTGTGCTGTAAGTATATTTTTGTATATTTCAAAAATACAACCAAATTTAGAAAACAATTACATGATAAAGAAAAATGGGAGTTACTTTAGCTGCTCTGTGACTATAAAAATATCCACCATGTCTGTGTTGAACTTCGCGAAATTAAAGGACTTTTCCACTTTGTTAAGGGGTTTGACAGACACTTGGATTCCTTTCGGAGTGGCACTACTGACTGATGTTAGCTACTTAATAATTCTTTATTTTTAGCATCGTGGAGTTGCCAGTCTAACACTATAGTTTTGCCTTTCATATGTGAACCGATGTTTACGTTTCCGAATGTGCTGCTACATTAAGCTATGGCATTAAGTTTGTCAATAACTACAATAAAATGGTAATTAGAGGAAAATTAATCATGCAGATTAATCAACTAATATGCAAAATATGAATAAATTAATCAATAGAAAAACAGTTGTTCGTGGCAGCCCTACAGCTTAGACTGTACAGTGCTGAACACTTCATATACAGTCAATAGCTTAGAGTAGCTTTGGCACATTTGTCAAATTAACAGTAAGAAAAGAAAACACCGGAAGGTCTGGAACCAGGGCTGAACAATGTGTTTCCAAAGACTTTATGCTATAGCTACATTAACACTACAAATTTCATAAAAGTAAACTGTGACATGTGAAGTATGTTTAATGCAGTACATACATGCTGCTTTTAATACAACAAAATATGTCTGACTTCTTACTGTCTAATGTGATTTACAGTGTGTCTGAGCGGCTGCTTCCCAGTTGAAGTCTTTCTGTACCAACCTGGACTTGTCAAGTGCGGGTCTGTGTTTGATGCTACAGAGACAGTCCACTTTGTAGGAGGCGGCTATCACTCACCCGACGACTTCTTTGAAATACCTTGTTAAAACACACATGTGTACATTACTTGCATCCTCATTTACCACGCAGCACCCGGTACAACATTTAAGACGTAACCTGGAGCTAACAGCTAAAGGCAGCTAGCTGTTAGCTAACAAATGTAAAGTAAAAAAACCCTGTTGGTGTGAAACGTTCAGGTTAGGTAGCTAGCTAGCACATATATATCTATAATTAACAATAATTAGAAGTGTAGGGGGAAAAAGGTAAACACCTGAAAAATAACTGGTGAAAAGGAAGGCAGCGGTCTGCCCCTCCCGAAGTATGTGTCCGGGAATTTTCTGCCGACGACGGTCCTTCGTGTCCGCCATGTTTCCAACCGACCGCGGTGAGACAACCGGCAAACAAATCTCTTCCTGTTTTGGGCACGACACACAAATAGAAAATGCTAATGTAGTGATATTCTAAATTACATATTAGAAATTTGTAATATTATACGATAAAATAAAATTGTGATGAATGTGAGTAAATCAAATTTAAAAATATATATATTAATATAAATTTTAAATCAAGCAAAATAGCACAAAAAAGTAA